TAGTGGTATATAAATAGAAATGACGACATTGGACCCCGGAAATGATTCGCTAATCTTAATATAATTACAGTTGTGTAACGTTTATACTTCTTTACGAAAAACGGAAAAGAAAAGAAATATAGTCTTTTTAACAAAATACAATTACTAAAATAAAAAAGTAATTCTTCGACAAAGAGTAGAAAATTTCTATTATCGAGGGTCATCATTATATGATTATGAAGAAAATGCAACAGCGTGTAATCATTTAATTAATTGATTGTTTTACATTAATATTGATATTCAATGATGCCATATTGTATCTTTAGTATTAGTATTAGTAGCGATAGGTGGTTGTGATTGTGGTGATGATAATAAAATATGATAATGATGGTAATAACAACAGCTAGCACAATTCACAATTGGTTTTATTACGTATAATAATAAATATGAGGAAGTGGCTACTACTACTACGCTTATTACTTATACTAGCCTGTATATATATATAAAAGCATGGTTTTTACATAATGTGTGTGATACATACAAACATATTTATTATATATAGCATAAATGCCCTTAATTCTAATTTTAAAAAAAATAAAATAACAAACAATCTCGTGATCAACATAAGGAGAATTCTAAAAAAAAAACTATAAAAATCATTGATTATTCCATCATTCTTTTTAAAAAAACAAGTGTCTTCATTTAAAAATTTAAATAATTATTCCAAGGTTTTTTTTTTTTTAATTAAAAAAAAAAATCGTATGTATTTATTTCAATAACATCGAACGAATATTATTTTTGAAAAAAAAAAATAAAAAAAAAATGACTATTTTTGTTCCAACGACGAAAAATTTTCAGTCAATTCATCAAAATCGTAGGTTTTTTAATTTCAAATTGAAATTATTCACAGTTATTCGTTACAAAAATTAAAAATTTATACAATTCATATTAAATGCATTTATTAATCAGAATAAAAATAACAATTATTATATAAACCATCAGCTTGTAATAGAATGGAATCAATCGAAATAACTGCAAATAGTAACAGCGCGACTACGACAAGTATGGAGGGAATTGTAGCTACAATTCCAGAGAAAACGTTTATCGACTCCACAGGAACAGAAACCTTAACGAAAAATCACAATAGGCAAGAAAATGGCAGTAACCAAAATGTTAAAGGTCATCAATCAAATCTTGGCGATGCTAGCGATAACCAGGGAAAAAATATTTTGGCGGAAAGCCTTGTCGGTAAGTAAATAGTTGATAATATTAAAAATATTTTGATTATATTGCACTGTTGTTTTATGTATTGTTTATTATTTTATATTTATATAGATGCTTTTTTTTTCATATTTGGTGTGTATTAGAAACAACTATCTTAATAACCAATGTGATTTGGTGCAATTTTCCTTTACTTCCAAACGTTCAAGTAATTCCACTTCGCCTATACATCCAAGAAACATTGAAAAGGTCAAGAACTTCTTTGTCGACTTTGCAAACAGCTCTGCTCTACCTTTTAAGAATAAAACCGAAAATTGGATCCATTTACTTAAACTTGAGCTCATCCTCCAACTCAAACTTGAACTCGAGCTCAAACTCGAACTCGAATCCAAATATTATAAATATAGATTCTGCAACATGTGGTCGAAGAATGTTTCTAGCATCATTGATTGTTGCGTCGAAATATTTACAGGACAATAATTATTCAAATAATGCTTGGTCGAAGATTAGTGGGTTATCACTTAAAGAAATTAATTCGATAGAACGAAGATTTTTACAATTGATTGTTTACAACCTTTATGTTTCAGAAGAAGTGTTTAACAATTGGACAAATTTGTTGGATTCTCATATAAAAACAATATTGAATAATAATGATAGTCCTAATGATAACAATAACAATAACAATAATAATAATAAAGATAACAATAGTAACATTGATAACAAAAGTAATTATAGTAATGATGGTAATGTTAATAGTAATTTTAGTAATAATAATATTAATAATAGTAATACTGGTAATAGAGGAAATCAAACAGCCGATAATCACAAACGAAACTTTTTCATGATAAATTCTTCCACAACCACAATCTCTTCTAAAGAATGCGAGATTAAAGGCTAAACTTATTGTGACAGAATATAAAAACTTTAATAAATAAACAAAGCAAGTTCATTTTTTTATTGAATATCAATCTAATATTAAAATGAATAAATCATTTATATGAATTTCCAAATTTGTAAATAATTCTCTTTCATAAATAAAGTAATAATTAATTGGTTGTTTTTTTTTATTAATCAATTTACAAAGAAGGAAATTTATAAATCTCAAATGATTGATTTCTTTCAATACAGGTCATAATTAATAAAAAATAAAAAAAAAAATTTCCAAAAATAATTTCTTTTTTTTTTAAAAAATTAATTTCTCAAAGAAATTTTATAACAATTAATCAATCAAACAACAACCAAAAAAATGTGCTTTGTAAGTATTTCTTTCTTTCTTTCTTTCTTGTTCTTGATTTAAATTTCGTTCACTAATGATCATGTTTTATAGCGTGTAACTTGTAGAAAGTGTAACAAATATACATGGTCTGGATGTGGCAGACATGTTGATTCTGGTATATTAAAATTGATATTATTATTATTATTATTTATTTACTCTGTTTTTTAATTGTTTTAAAAGAATGTTATCCCAAAAAATATTTTGTTTCTTTCTTTCTAAAATAAAAAGTCATGAAAGATATTCCGAAAGAAGAAAGATGCACTTGTAACGAAATAAAAGCACCAGAGACGGAGACAAAGACAGAAACAAAGGCGAAACAGGTATATAATAATAATAATAATAATAATAATAATAATAAATAATAATAATAATAATAATAATAATAATTAGTATTATTATTTCTTAATGTTGTTGTCATGATGACATTTTATTTATTCATCTTTATTCTTCTCACCCGTATATATTATTAGTAAATCACTATTGGTGGCTACAAATGACTTATGCTAAATTTTACATATAATAATCCCCAATTTCTAATTTTTTTTTTTTTGTAATATTTATTATTATATTACGTGATTAGTTTGTCCGGGGGATAATTATGTGTTATAATTAGTGTAGTTTAAATAAGTAAAAACGTGAGATGTTGTTATTGTATTACTATTATTTTACCATTTTGCCTATCAAAATATTTTTATAAATTGAGTTAAAAAAAAAAAGTGTTGTGTGTATATTATGTAAAAGAAAATGTCGACAAAATTGCTTTCAGTTTTTTCTCGAGATATTTTTAATCTTTTGGAAAATTTAGAAGAATTTAATGTTACAATACATGTTGGTGAACAACCTAATGTTAGAATATTTCATGCGCATTCTCTTATCCTAAAAGCTCGTTCCTCTTATTTCAATACTGCTCTATCTAAACAATGGGCAAAACAAAAAGATGAAAAAAATATATTAAATCAACCAAATATATCTCCTGAAATCTTTGAAATCATATTAAGGTATTTACAACTATAAAGTTACACGCACACATATACATTTGATAAATTCTTGAGTGATATTAATATATAATATATAATAGTTATATTTATTCAGGTAAAATTTCATTACAGGAAAGAACTATAACAGAAATTTTAGAAATTTTATCTGCAGGCGATGAATTATTATTAAATGATTTGTTAGACTATATCCAAGATTATTTAGTTGATACAAAAGCAGATTGGTTACCAAATTACATACTAGAAATTTACAGAAAAACATTAGATCATCAATCATGTGAAAAATTGAGAGAATTCATATTGGCAACCATATCAGCAGATCCTGAATTATTATTCAACTCCAAAGATTTTTTGAAAATCGAAGAATCTTTATTGCTACCAATACTTAAACGTGATGATCTTGATATGGCTGAAGATGAGGTCTGGGACCAAATTGTGAATTGGGGAATAGCTCAAGATCTCGATCTTCATCCGGCCATCAAAGAATGGGATTATGACGATTTCAATAAATTGAAAACTATATTAGATAAATGTATTCCATTGATAAGGTTTTTTCAAATGTCCTCGAGTGATTTGTATGACAAAGTATGGTCTCCATTCAGATTAATCTTGCCCCCTAATCTAGAGGATGATATTGTCAGGTGTCATTTGAAACAAGGTAGTAAACCAATATATGGCATCAACACTCCAAGAGGAAATTCCACTTTAATTGGTCATAAAGAAATGTTACGTATTGCGTGTTGGATTGACAAAAATGATACACCGATCAGCAATAACAGTCATATTAATATCAATGGTAATAGCAATAGCAATAGTAATAGTAGTGCAATAAATATTTCTTCCTCTTTATTATCATCTTCGACTCCAATATCATCAACGTCAACGAATAATAACAACATTAACACGAATAACAGTTCGTCATCTGCCAGTAATATTCCCGCCACAACGAACGAGATGCCTTATAAATTTAAATTGTTGGTTAGAGGTACGAGGGATGGATTTGATTCCAAAACTTTTCATCAGAAATGTGATAATCAAGGTCCAACCTTTGTCATAATGAAGATCTCTTCAACCAATGAAGTAATAGGTGGTTATAATCCAATCAAATGGCAAACTGGTAGTGGTCATTTAGAAACAAGAGACAGTTTCTTGTTTACGTTTGGTAATAGAGATAGGATTGAAGACGCAAAAGTTTCAAGAGTATCAAGGTTTAATTATGCAATAACGCTTAAAGATGATTCCTATGGTCCCTGTTTTGGCGATAAAGATTTATGGATGTATGGTAATTTTGACAAACCGGAAAGTTGTTCATCAAAGGAAGACGATTATGAAACTTGGATAACTAAAAGTCGTAAATTTGGTGTTTCAGAATATGAAGTTTTTAAAATTATTAAAAAATAATTATTTATTGATGCTATCTATTTATATTATTATATTATACATTATTACTATTTATAAAGTGTTTATTAATTTATGTAATTGTTAATATTGTGTAGTTATTAATATATATTATTGTAAATTATTCTGTATCACGAACAAATTCTTGAAAATTTAATTGTCTATTATTATATCTCAAATATTCTTCAATTAAACCTCTCTCACTTGCCCCAGGATTTGATCTTGACCAGCTACTAATGTAAAATGTATCTAAATCACCTTTACAATTCCTTAATACTGATTCAAGAATAACAGCATCTCTTTTCCCCCATTCCATATCTAAGCTAATATTTCGCAATCTTGGTGGCAAAATATTGAATAGCTGTGGCATAAAATCACTAAACTCTCGAGTATACTTGTATGATCCGAACAATTTCAAGCTGATTAGATTTTCAGAATTATTATTTAAAAAATTAATTAACAATCTTTTCGTGTCGGAATCGTGTTTATAAGGAAGTGAAATGCGATTTAGAGTATTTTTGTATTTTGAACATAACGTTTTATACAATCGTTCGTCGATGAATATGTCTCTTCTTATCTGATCGTCGACATAGTAAATATCTTTTAATGTTTTGGAATTTGAATTTAATAAATCCATAAATATTTCAAATAGGCCTCGGAAAGAATTTTTTATATGCAGTTTTGTTAATTTGGAAAGGTTTCTTAGAGGTTGTATAATTCCCTCGTCCGAAAATTCACAATGATCCAAGATCAATATTTCCAAATTACTACATTTTGACAAATGATTGAATTCCGAGGTGATTGTGGTGAATTTTGCATAAATTAATTCAAAACTTTTTAAAGTTTTGAATGAACATTTTAATGCAGAAATTTGGTCCGTTAGTGATGTACCATACGAAAAGATTTTTAAATATTCCAGATTTTTTTGTTTTTTAATTAATTCACTAATCGACCCATTACGATTAGATGTATTAAATGTGTTATCGATCAATTCTAGTCTTCGTAGATTAGTCGAATGTTTTGCCAGATCCATTAACAAGTCACCCTTTTTTGGAACGTAACTGATCGATAATTCTTTTAATTGTGATAGGAAAATTGCCGAATTTTTGCAGTGTAGAAACTTTAATTTTTCTCTAGATTTTCTTCTCGGATAATTCCAATCCAATTTAATAGATTTAAATTTTTTACTTTTAACCAAGATCATCCTACATATTGTACGAATTATCAATTTTGTGTGTCTATGACAGACAATTATTGACCTACAATAATGAATGGTATTATTATTATTATGATCGTCGACATTATCATCAAAATAACAAATAATTGTATAAATAATTACAATTTACTTGTCTGAGTTTTCTCAATCCAATTCTCGACCGATAAATGTAAATTTTTCATATTCAAATCTTCCAAATGTTTCGGATAATCCAGAAAAGCAAAAGTCATCGGCCTATTATTATTGTCCGGTAATTTAACGTAATATCTTGATAAATTTGAAGTTTCATGCTTTGATAAACACTTCAAATAGGAGGCAATAATCGTCGAGCTGACCATATTATTGCTAAAAGGCGCCTTCCACAATATCGGAACAACCAGCTCGCAACAGTGTTTATTAAGTAAAAGGCATGAATGTAATGTTTTAATGTCGTTTGATAAGTGCTTGAATACTAAAGCTAAGCAGTCGTATACTAAGGGGACTTTTGGTTTCTCATCATCAGGAGGCAATGGATTGTCATCGTTTCTTTTAATTTTAATTTTTTCCTTTTTGAAAAAAAAAAAATAGATTCTTTTATACATCAGAAATGATAACAATTTATTATTTGAAAATTAAAATTTATTATTTGAAAAATTAAAATTTAGTGTATTTTAATGAATGCATCATAAAACTTTTTAATAATATTTCTGGGGGTATGATAATATTTATAATAATAAAAATATTGCTTCCTTGTTGAATGAATTTAGAATATAATGAAGGAGATTTGTTAGTTTGAGGTTTTTCATTTTACGGAATACGGATTCCGAAAACTTTTTTTTGATTATTAAATATTATGTAAATTATTATGCAATACTTATTAATTTTTAATTCGAAATTAATATTAAAATTATTGCGGAAGAACGATACCGAAACAATTAAATATTTGTCATTTTCTTGATTGTTTTCTCGTCACATTCGTCATAATATTATCAATTTACTTTGATAATGAACAATAATGATAATGCACAATGATAAAGCTCAATTTTCAATTTTGTTTTGTCATTATTCTCAATCCTTTTTAGATTACCAAACTAAGCCAAATATGGGAATGCATTGTTTTAAATATAGATAGATTTTTACCTATATAATAATAAATAAATTTGCTAGGAACTAATTCAATCTTGTTGGAATTGATATATATATTACTAATGTTGGGAAATCTTTGGTGGTGCGATTGTAAAATATAGGTGTTGGATAATTAATCTAACCCTAAACTTGAGTAGTAACGGTAGAGTTGTCCAGCTATGGCTATAATATTTATACACAATAATAATATCGCAAGGAACTGTTAACAGCTGGATGATGGCATTGTTTATTATTTTTGTTAACATTTAATTAATCCTTTATAAAATCAATTTTCTTTTAACATCTAATTGTTGTTATTATTATGAATTTTATTTTAGCCCAACCTGTTTGTAGATTCCGTTATACCAGTTAATTAACGGAGAAAAAATATGCGTCAACTTGTAAATTAAAGTTTCATCACCAAAATTGTAGATTTTCAATTTGCGGTAGTCTTTATCGTGATTGGTGGTAGACTAAGAAATTCCGGAAAAGTTTGCAGGCATCATGGGATAGCAGAAAAATCAAGAGATTCGGGAAAATATTATAATGAATGAAGTAAAAAAGATATATACTATAATTTGTTCACTCATAGGGAAAGTTTATGAAAACAACCAAATGCTTATTGTCTAATCTTAGCTAGTAACATTATTAATAAGGACGGTAATGGTATGAAGATCAATATCTGAATATCTAGAGGATTTTTGGTCCTTCCAAGATCAATTTTAGCAACTTGTTTTATTAGGATCAACATTTCATTACTTCTTTCTGGTGTGACTTTTCTGCCTCATATGAGACTGTCTCCAGCAAAAATCACCTCCGAGGTCTTTTGGCCAAACTTGTGGTTTTTATTCTATAACATATAGATTGCAATTGGTAAGGATATTATTATTTGCATAATAATAATAATAGTACGGAAAGAATGTACGGAATCTTCCTGTTAAATGCGCCAAAAAGTACGGGATAGGTACGGAATGCATGCTAATACTAATACTAATACGAAACACACACGGAGCACACATGGGATTTACCATTACGGAAAGCATACGAATCCGTTTTTCTGTACGTTTTCCGCACGAATTTCATATTAGCACATCACGTATTCATACGGGATACATACGAGAAAAACGAATTCTATATTGGTATTAGTATTAGAATGTTTTCCGTAAATCCCGTGTGTGTTTCGTATTAGTATTTAGCATCCTATCTCGTACGAATCCCGTGCATTTAATAAATATCAAAAAACGATTGATTTTTTTAGAAAAAGGTTGTGATTGTGGTTGCTCTTCAAGAATTCCCCAAGGAAGAATTTGCAAGAATTATATGAATTCGTTCATTATTATAAGTTTACAAATGAGGAAGCAAAATGAGCCGTCGAGATTTTCTTTATGCTTCCAAATTCAGCAGTCAAAATTTATTCTTTACCACAACTTTCGTTATTATTGGCGCGCACTAAATATACTTGGTCTTTGATGGAATTAAAAAATTGAATAAAGGTGCGTGCTGTAACCATTTGTATTTAATGATTTGCAATTATTATAAGTGTTTAATTAAATTTCATGATTCCAGGGCATATCAAATTCTAATAGCTTTGGATTGATCAAAGAAATTATATCGAAAGATGTCGTAAAAAAGAAATCCCTCATTACTTATAAGTAAATAATGTTTCAAAACCTTGAATTGTTTAATTTTATTATTATTTAAAAATTACAAAAAATCAAAAATACAAACAATCAATCTTGTTATAATTACAATTACAAATCATTAATTAACTCTATGAATTATTTTTCACCAAGAGAAACCTCCCGTTATTAATACTATTATTTAATTAAGCAATTATTAAATAAAGCATTGTCACAGTAATAACAAATAATGATGTAGCAATGCTGTATAAATTATAAATTGAGAGTTCCAGATCAAGATGCCCAGCTGAAACAGGATTACTTTCTTGAATTTCCTCTATAGTTGCTGAGGTAACTTTCTTGACCACCACAACAGTACTTGGTGGAATGTAAGTTGCATATGTTGTTAATTGTCCATTTGTCCCTGTTGAAGATGTATAAGTGGTGTATCCTGGGAAATATAATGTTTCTGTGGTGGTGTATGTTTTGAATTGTGTTATGGTTGATTTTTTTTGGCTTGAGCCTAATTGGGATTGGGATGTTGTGGTTTTTGTAGGTTTTGGTGGATCTGTGATTATTTCATTCTCTTCTGTTGTGCTGACCACTGTTGGGCTATTTTTTTTTTTTTTTTTTGCAATAAATTTAATTAATTTGTTGGAAAATAATGAATTTTTCTTTTAAAAAAAAAAATCACTCACTCTGTTGTTTTACGTTCACATCTTGGATCATCGGCTTTTGTACATGGTTCTTGTCCAGGTGGATATGACTTAGTAGTTTTACTAGTAGATTCTAATTAATTTCATATAAATTAATTATATTAATTATATAAATATAAGTATATTAATTAATTATATAAATAAAAATAAAAATAATTAATTGTATGAAAGAATTACTTGGTAGATCAGTAGGTGTTCCAGAGTCTATTTAGTAAAAAGAAAAAGAAAAAGAATTAATAAATTTTAATAAATGAAATTTATTTTCATCAATAACTATTATTATCTCCTTTTTGAACATATATATATATATATATGTTCCTCTTTTGAATATACCAGTGGTATTTGGATAAACATTAACCCCAGTTGAGCTAGTTAAACTTAAGTTATCAGTAGCAACTGTAGTAACAACTGGACTATCACTAGACTATTTGTATTGCTAGTAGGAGTTAAGCTATTTGTATCTGTTAAACTATCTACTTTTGTATTTGTATCTATTGGATTCTGTGTATTAGGTCCATCACTACTAAATGTATTAGCAGCTGGTGTGTCAGGAGTAACACTAATAATTATACATTTATGATAAGATCATATTTATATTTTAAAAAAAACTATCTATCCATCTAGATATACAACTATTAATATATTCTATTTATATATGCGTGTCCTTCCTTTCAACAAAAAAAAACTTACCAGAAGATGAATTATTTGGATCAGGTTTTGGTGCATTTGGATCAGGTTTTGGTGCATTTGGATCAGGGTTTGGTGCATTTGGATCAGGGTTTGGTGCATTTGGATCAGGTTTTGGTGCATTTGGATCAGGTTTTGGTGCATTTGGATCAGGCTTTGGTGCATTTGGATCAGGTTTTGGTGCATTTGGATCAGGTTTTGGTGCATTTGG